ACGCAAACACAAGTGCGAGAAAATATGAAAATGAAAACCAATCGCTGGCCCTCTGTGCGTTAATAACCCGCCACACATTGCTGCTGCAGCGTGGCAGCACACAATGATGGGTCGCTCTCTCTCTCTCTCTCTCTCTCTCTCTATATATATATATATATATATATATCTCTTCCCCTCTCTCTTTTTCTTTCTTTCTTTTTCTGCCATCATTTGACTCTGGGTGTATGTATTTTTGATTCTCTCTCTCTCTCTCATAAATATGTGTTTTTGTGTGTATTTGTACATCTGTGTGCGTATTTTTGTGTGTATATATCTTCTTAATAGTTTTTATGTCTCTATATCTGATTATTTATCTTCCTATGACTTTGCCTGCCCGTATGTGTTTATGTGGGAATGTACTTCTATGTTTTTGTGCCTGTGTACGCAATTGTATGCTAATGTGTGTACGCTTGTATCTATTATGCATCCATGTATCTTTTCATGTGTATTTCTCCTTTTCTATGTATGTGTACCTATCATTTATATCTACGTACACATGCGTTCACTTGTGTAACTGTTCGTCTATGTTCACTGGTGTAGCTGTTTGTATGTGTTCACACTTGTGTAGCTGTTTGTATGTGTTCACACTTGTGTAGCTGTTTGTATATGTTCACACTTGTGTAACTGTTTGTATGTGTGTGTGTATTATATAAGTGAGTGGATGTTTTCACTTGTTAATTTTTTAATGCATACTCTATTATTTGAGCCTTTTTTATTGGTGAATTACTTCTTGATTTTTTTTTATTAAATTATAATTTAATAATTATAATTTAATAATTAATAAATGATTAATAAATAATTAATAAATTATTATTCAACAATTTCTCATCTCGGCACCTTCCATCCTCCTTATTTGTTTTCCAAATCTTTAATGTTCCTCGCGGTCTGTCCAATTATTATTCTTTTTAACGCTATCATGGGTGGATATAAATTGTGAAAAAAAATTTCAGGTCTCATTATTTCAAATTTTCTCTCTCTCTCTTTTTTTTTCTCTCTCTCACTCTCTCTCTTTCTCTCTTTTTCATTTCTCTCATTTTCACTTTCACTCTCTCGCTCAGTTCATCGCGTTGAATGAGAAATCGGCAGAAGAGGAATTTCAATCTGTGGAGGACGTCATAACACGTCATTCAAACGGCTCTCCCTCCTTAAGTAGTCAGCAATCAGCAGTAATCAGCAGTACAGTAAACAGTTAATCAGCAGTACAGTCAATCAGCAGTACAGTCAATCAGCAGTACAGTCAATCAGCAGTACAGTAAGTATTAACAGTGGTGTTGTGGTACTTGAGTTTGTACTTTCAAGCCACTAATTACTTATCCCATCACCGTGCTTATCTTATTTTAACTCACACAACAACAGATTTGATTTGTACTGCTGAATGCTGGTACTTGTACTTTGGTTGATAAACTTTGTGTAAATGTTATAACATGTGTCGGGTCTATCCATCCACCCCGCCAACTTTCGTTTGCTTGCTTGTTCGTTTGGTGATTGTGAGATGTTTAAAATTAACTGATAATGTAATTAGGAACATTCAGTTGGATGTTGTGTTACTGTGCATGTGTGCCTGTACGTGAGTGTGTATTGAGTGCGTATGTGTGTGTGTTGTGTATGTGTGTATGTATGTGTGTGTGCGCATGTGTGTGTGTGCGCATGTGTGTGCGCGCGTTCAATACACAATTAAAAATATCAATCAATATTTGAATTTATAAATAAATATTAAAATAATGCGCGTGCATTGAAACGTTTTTGTATAAGGTTGAATTATGAGTGTATTCAATAATGCTTTGTATGACAGAGCTATGTGATGGAATCATTTATTTAATTAATAACGATTTTTCTTCTTCAAAGTGATCATTTTAGTAATATAAAATAATCATTGACTGATCGACTAATTTAAAAATAATTTAATTAACCAGCTGATTTGTTTAGTGTATTGCGGGGTTGCATTTGGTCACGTGCCTTCCTGTTTAATCATATCACCATAAATAAATAAATTATTCTCAACATGCATATTTTTTAATTTGTATTTGCATTTTTATTTAAAATAATTTATAAATTAATTCATATATATTTATATTCGTATAACGCTCCTAAGTTTTAAACATATCTACTACCTTCTATAGAGAATGTAAAGAATGAAAAGTTTGCGAACACTGAGACCTTTATTTATTTATTCATCAATCAATCAATCAGCCAATCAATCATAGCCTACTATATCTCCGTACGTGTGTGTATTTTTGTGCTTTCACGATCCAGTGAGTACACCGATGTGTATGCACACGTACAACAAATGTAAACTTTTCTACAACACAACACAACGCGTGTGGGTACGTACAGTGTGGGTACAGTGTACAGTGCTGTTGTATATGTGACTGATATTCATGCAACAAAATAATGTTTTGAGTAATTTTTCAAAAGTTTCTGTTTCTTGCTTCATCATAGCCGTCGTTAACGAGCAGTGTGGTGGGATATGTTAATAAAACCTCAAACCTAATGATAGTCTAGTTTGAGGAGTTTGTAAAATGTTGGGTGTTGGTTTTGTGGTTTGGACGTGTTGGATGGTTGGTTGGCTGGTACTGCTGGCTGGGTGAAATATTGGCCGAAGGACAATGGTGAATTCATTGATTTTCATTGAAATTTAAATCTTTTAGTATCATATTGCGGTTCCGTTGTTCCATTCTTTCAGTTCAGATGTTGATAGTTCAGCATGTTGCTGGTTGCTTGTCTGGCTTAAAAAAATCCAAATTTGAAGCAAAAAACTCCTACGAATACATATATATTAAAACATACACTCATTCACTCAGCATCATACAGTTATGTGTGTTAATATCATGCCTGTAATATCTTTCCTCATCTTTTAACTCTACCTACCTATGCAAAACTAACTGTTTATTAATTACGAAAGGTAGTCTCAAAGTATGTGTGCGTATAAGTCTGCACGTTTGTACGCTTGATGTACGTGTACACGCGTACAAATGGATGAATAAATTTATTACAATTCTATTCACTCATCTATGAATGTATTTATTAATTTAAAATTCATCGAAATAAATTCATTTAATTATAAATGCTTTCATTCATTCGGCTTGTTCATTAATGAATTAATTAAAGAATTAATATAATTAAGTCTTATTTAGATTAGTTACCACAGCCAAATAACTCATGCGAGGTTTTAAAGCAGGCACGCACACGACTGAGAACACCCATCCATCCACTCAGCGCACACATACACATACAGAAATGTGTTTAATTAAATTTAATTCTTCCTTCTGTTATTTATTCGTTTATTCATTTAATTATACATGCGTTCATTCATTCATTCATTCACTCATTCATTCATTCATTCATTCACTCATTCATTCCATTCATTCATTCATTCATTCATTCATTCATTCATTCATTCATTCATTCATTCATTCACTTTTTCATTCATTCATTCATTCATTCATTCATTCATTCATTCATTCACTCATTCATTCATTCGTTCGTTCGTTCATTCATTCATTCATTCATTCATTCATTCATTCGTTCATTCGTTCATTCATTCATTCATTCATTCATTCATTCATCCACTCATTCATTCATTCATTCATTCACTCACTCACTGGGTGGAAGTTTTGTTATTTACATTACACTAATGTTTACGTGCTTCGGAAGCGTAAAGCCGTAATTAAAAGTCGAGAAAAGAAACAACATAAACAAAAACAAACACACATACACCCACAGACCCGTACACACGCATACACGTACACACACACAGGCACGTACACACGCATCTTACATACATGCACAAACACAGGCACGTACACACTTACACATACAAAGTTTTTTACTTTGGAAAAAGTTTCCTTGATGTAATGTTTGTTGATTTAAAATTAGACAGTTAAAAAAGAAGATTGATTAATTAAATGAGATGTTATTTGCTCTTAATTTTGAAGTTATCTTATGATATAATTGCATGGCCTTCAATTACATTAATTGGTTTTATTGTTAATTTTTTTTTTTATTGTTTCATTTATTTTCACCGTTTCCGCAAGATAACTTGAGAAGTTTTATTTCAGCATCTCAAGATTTATACGACTTGTATGTTCTGCTCTTGCTTTTCTTGTTCTTTTGTTGATGTTGTTGTTGATGATGTTGTTGTAGCTGGTGTTGATGTTGTTGTTGTTGATGTTGTTGTAGCTGATGTTGATGTTGTTGTAGCTAGTGTTGATGTTTTTGTTTGGATGTTGTTGTCTGGATGTTGTTGTTTTACTGTTGTTGGTTTCTGTTCGTTGTGGAGTAATGTTTCTTTGATTTTATGGTCTCAATCAGTGAACTTTTCATGGTTGTTGCTGTGTGTTGTCGACGTGACTGTTGCTATTCGCTTACATTTCAATTGGACTTTTCCATTTTTTCAGTCTTCTTACGTTGTTGTTTAATCGTTTCTTTACTTATATAAATATATGTATATATATATATATGTATATGAGTGTGTATGTATGTGAGTGTGTCTGTGTGTGTGTTTGCTGTATCTGTATGAGTTTGTGTGTAATATGCGTGCGTGTGTTGTAAAAAAAATGTAATTTAAAGTTGTTGGTGCAGTTTAATGGTTAGAGATACAAGTTAATGTAAACTTTTGTTTTGAACTGGCATCGGATCCATCATCTCTTGATGAACAGCCAACATTGGAACAGCTGATATTTTCATATTTTAATTTTATATTCCATTTTATTGGAGCAAAGCAGTTAGTGATAATTTTAACTTTGTTTATTCAATAGGCAAAACTTCCTCAGCATATTTTCAAAACCGACCAATCTAGACATTGAAACAACAAAACATCCACAGCAACAACATCAACAACAACAACAACAACACAACAACAACATCAACAACAACAACATCGAGAAGAGAAGACCAACAGACGTAGCAGAGATTTAGTGAGAAAGAACAAACAGACGTAGTTATTTCGTCTTGATGTTAAGATGTCATCTGGCCTGGTGGACATCCTCGAGAATGCAAGGACCGAACGCAACTTCGGCACTTATTCCGCCAGCAATTCCACTTTCAACTCGGCGACCAGCTCGTCTTTCAACACAACATCTGCCGCTGAACAAAATGCAGTTGATAATGCCATGCAGTGGTTCATGGCTAAAGACACTAAACAACAACAGCAGCAACAACAACAACAACAACAGCAGCAGCAACAACAGCAGGAAAACAGTTTTAAGCAACTATCTTTAAATCGGCAGTCATTATCTTTCTTTCAACTGCAACAACAACAACAACTGCAACAACAACAACAACTGCAGCATCAGTATCAACAACAACAACTACTACTATTACTGCAACAACAAGCAAAGCCCAACGAAGCAACAAGCCAAATTTGGAATCCGAGCCAAGCAACAAGTCAACTGGGACCTGCTGGATCATCAACATCGTCGTCATCATCATCGTCTACATCATCGTCATCATTGTCCTTTTTATCATCATCAGCAGCAGCAGCATTGATAGCACCTACTTCAATGCCATGTTCATCTTTAACACCATCATCATCATCACTTTCATCTCTACCATCATTTGCATCTCGTGATGAAAACCAATTACAAAGCAATAACATTAACAAAATCAGCAGCACCAGCAACGATAACAACAACAAGATAACATTAAAAACAACCGCAGCAGCAAACAAGAGTGACGACGTTGATGTGATTGACAGCAACGGAAATGATCACTCGCATGAACAAAAACTCCCTCAACATAATCACCACCATATTAATCTGAGACAACATCAAAAGTTTATCGAACCCTTTGTTGGTCATATCTATAGTACAGAAAAATCCAAGTCGGTTGTTGTTGTATGCGAAGACAGTACTACACCAACAACATCGGCAACAACATCCATCTTTTACAACGAAGATTCAGCAATTGTAAAAACTATTGTATCAACGACAGACTTCAGCGAGGGTGAGGAAGGGGAGGATCACAACGTCAGTGGCGGCAAAATTAAAAAAAGTTGTGTTTGTATTCCCTATAAAAAATCTCCAACAACAACAACACAAACACGAACACTGCCCCCTGGTCTTTTGCTATGCAGCTAAAGAATCAGGCAAAACATCATCAAACGTTGGACAGCCTTTAAAATCATCCGACCAGCAAGCCGCAACCATCAATAGACGAACATTTCGACTTTGTAATGGTTGTAAAATATGCCCCCATTCGACCAGATATTTTTTCCAGCACATCACTCAAATGCATTCCTTTCTACCGACATCATCTTCCGATAATGTGACATCATCGCAATTGCTGGCTGCAACATCTGCAACTCCTTCCTCACCAACACTCTCGTCATCGTCGACCTCATTTCCTCCGCTGGACGAGATGATGTCGAACGAGCGGTGTAGCTGGTTTTTCACATCTGAAAGAATCGCTGAGCCGCGTGCAAGATGCACCTATAAAAACCGCGATGCCGATGGCGACGATGATGGCGACGGCGATGAAGGCACTTTAAAATTTAAGCCAGTCTACAAACTGTACATGCTGCACGATCAGCACGTAATATCAGAACCCGCTGTGATCGAACCTACCTCAGACCAGGCCGCAGTGCCATTCTCCGATCACAGCAGCATCACTGACGTTAATCAGGTGCCAGTTAACCAGTCGGCAAGAGCAGCTAGTTTCAATAAAAATGTGAATGGAAATTACGGCAACAACAACGATGACGCAGACAATAACATTAATAGTAACACACTCGACAGCAACAACAACAAGGCCTCTGCTGTTCTCAATGATTTCGAGCCAAACAAAATAATAAAATCGGAATTAATGGACAGCAATCCGTCCGCAGATCTTCTTGCTTTGGATTCCGCCGCTAAGGAAATGGATTTGAAAGCTCTCTGTCGTCTGCGTTCCGGGGACTGGGACTTTGCCCAACATATGGCTATGCTGGCTGATAATGCTGTTGATGAAAAACCAAATCTGCTGTTCCCCACAACCACCACCAATAATAATAATAATAATAATAACCACAACAGCAGCAATAGTCGTTTGTACAACAATTTTTTTCAAAATCATTTTGACGAAGAACATTTCAGTAGCAGCAGCAACAACAACAACAACAACACACAACAACAGATGTTTCAACAACAGCAGCAACAACAACAAATGTTAATGATAAGAAACACGTGTAAAATGTTGAAATGCCCCAAGTGCAACTGGCATTACAAGTACCCGGAAACACTAGAGATTCACATGCGCGAGAAACATCCAGAGACTGACCACCAGTGCGTGTTGTGTTTGCGTGGACAGCCACATCCTCGTCTGGCTCGCGGTGAAGCTTACACGTGCGGCTACAAACCTTATCGTTGCGATGTCTGCAACTACAGTACGACAACAAAGGGTAACCTGAGCATTCACATGCAGTCAGACAGGCACATGAACAACATACAAGAACTGCACTGTCTCAACAGCAACAACAGCAACAACAGTAGCGCAGGCGCCGGCAACTGTGTGGGAAACAGTGCTTGCTTGACTGGACTGCCACCGCTAAGCAATGTTGGTGGTTCAACATCTATGCCTCTACAACTGACGTCACAAACTGCACTGACTCCCGTCATTACGTCATCAACTGCAGGAGGAAGCAGTGGTTGCGGTGGTGGTGGCACTGGTGCGACCCTGTCTCCTTCGACACCACCATCATCATCCTATTCTCCTGAAAGGAAGATTGGCATGGAAAGTAGTGGCGACTGCAATAACAACAACATTAACAACAATAATAACAATACTAACCTGAGCAGTGTGTATTCAAATAACAGCACGTTATTTCCTAATAACAACAGCAATATATTTGCTGGCAACATATTTTCAGGCAACAATCACAGCAACAATCACAGCAACAGTTCAAGTAGCAGCAAGCCTGCCTCGTGGCGTTGTGAGACTTGCAACTATGAAACCAACGTTGCAAGAAATCTTCGAATCCACATGACCAGTGAAAAACACGCTCACAATACTTTAGCAATGCAACAACAACAGCAACAAATTATGCCATCAAAAAACAACAACAGCAACAACAGCATCAATTTGTTTGGAAATAAAATTAATAATAGCAATAAATTCAGCGAACTCATGACAGAAAGCACAGACGGCGGTAAATATGCCAATAACGATAATTTTTCCAACCTCAGCAATAACTGCAGCAACAACAATGTTGACAACATCTCACAACAACAGCAACATTTTTCTCAACTTTTACCTTGGGGCTCGTTGCTACCCTCATTTTCTTCGTCTCTTGATTATCTTCTTTTCAATTCACCTCTGAACAAATATACTCAAGAATCAGACGCCAAAAAACTATTTGACTTTCGACAGTTCTACATGAACAGCAGCAGCAACAACAACAACAGCAACAACAACAACGTGTTGTCGCAACCCTCTTCATCAATGATGTCCTCAAACCTGAACAGCGACCAGCAGCATTTTTCCTGCAGGATCTTCCAATGCGCAACGTGCTGCAGTTTCGGTACGGACAACCTGGAGGACCTGCACAAACACGAGCAGGTCGACAGGACGATCAACGGAGCCGAGAAAGAAGGTTTCTACCTCTTTGTGAATTTAAACTCCATATTCTACGTTGCCCTGTTCATAAATGTTATTGAAACTATACAAATATTCAATTCTGAAATTTCTGTTAATATATTCAATGCAATTTTTACCCACTTTCAATGTAGCGTAATGATAAAATTAATAATAAACAGGTATTATGGTAGTGAACGGGACCTATGTATGCACACTCTGTCAATATAAATCCAACCTGAAAGCGAATTTCCAGCTGCACTGCAAAACGGACAAGCACCTGCAACGTTTGCAGCTGGTGATCCACGTGAGAGAGGGCGGTCCCGAGAATGAATGGAGACACATGCAGATGGGAGCCGTTCTTTCCGGCCACCACCTCATAACCGTCCGATGCAACGCCTGCGATTTTGGGACGAACAGTGTGTACAAGTTGCAAGTGCACGCCTCCGATCCCGAACATTTAGGCAATGTTGCCGTCTTTCTGGATTTGGTTGCCAAGTGTTGCGACAACAACAACAATAGCAACGGCAACAATATTAACGTCTCAAATAGCAACAGCAGTGTCGCAAACAACAGCAACATATCTTGCACAAACAACGCAGAGGAGGAAAGCAGCCGCAAGAGTAACAAAGATGATGTTGATGCTGCAGACGATTCCACAAACTTCCAACCGCTACATCCGTCCTCCTTCGACAGCGCGGTCCACAATCTCAACAAATACAACACCAACAACGTTAACAGCTACCAGAACCCCAACCCTCCTACGCCAACCGATAGCAAATGTCCTTGCTTCAACTGCGTTCCGTGCGGCTTCAGCACTCCAGTGAGGTTGTTGTTCGCTCGCCACCTCTCCACTCCCCAGCACAGGATGCTGGAGCATCGATTCATGGAGCTCCAACAACAACTTGCCAGCTTTGCAGCCAGGGAGGGGTCAGGCGTGGCTCAGAGGAGATTGTTCGGTGGCGGTGGCAGTGGGGGTGGGTATGGTAACAGTGGAAATGTAGGTGGCAGTTCAGGTGTTGGTGGTGCAGGTGGTAGCGGTGATGGCTGCTATGGAGACGACAGCTTAGAAGATGGCAATGCTGACGTCAACAACAACGACAACAACGGTTAGAACTTTTTTGAAACAAACATTTCATAAAACAACTTTTTCAATATTTTTGCTTGGCTGGTGACCGAACAATGCAACAGAATCATCATTATAACCTGACACTCAACATTGAAATGTAAGGGGACAAGCGTATGCGTAGAGTAAAAGAATATAACAGGATCAAACAAGCTTCAGTGGAATGAATGTCCCTCACACTATAGATCCTTCATCACACGAAAACGTACTGTACCGCTTGCCAACTCATGCAATGTAGTAATCATCAATCAATGAATCCCAATACACCCATTAGTCCTGTATTAATATGTAAAAACATTTTTGTGATAACGTCTTTAGTAGAAGTGTTAAAAAGTCAAACGTTCTAGTGGTAATTACATTAACTCAAAAAAATACACTAAATACATTAATGCGAATGATTATGACATTAACAAAGAGGTAACTTGAGTGACGCTTGCCTTAACTTGGCAGCTGCCATCGCTGACAACAATCGACTCACTAATTATGTCGAATGGTATAACGCAACCCCACCAACAATGTCAATATCTGCTGTTGTTATTGTTATTGTTATGGTTGTTATTATTATTTTATATTATTTTATATTATATTATTTACTTTTAACTATTATAATATTTGATCATTTTATATTATTATTATATGTGAACTTGTTGTCATCATGAAAGATATCAATGTTATCGTTGTCGTGTATTGTTGTTACACTATTATTTATCATTGGCAGTTGTTATTTCTTCCTAATTAGCATAAACTATGCGAGAGTAGGGTGATGCGGTGAATATTGTGAATGTTCATTATAATAATTAATATTTATTAAGCACGTATTTGCATTGTGACAGATGTCTGCTTGTCATCATCGTCATCATCATCGTCGTCATCATCGTCGTCATCAATATCATCATCACCACACCGCAGTTGTATAATTTTACAGCTTGTTTGTTACACGCACATACGCACGCACACACAAGCACACTCACACACACACACGTGCACAAATATGCACCCATACACGTATACAATACACTCACAGTCAGTCGGCATAGTTAGTTAGCACAGACATCTTTACTAAATGAAACCATCAAGAATTAATACCTTTATGTATTTACATAGAAAACTTCTTACACGGCACAAACTAGAAATAAGACACTCACACAGACATCCACGGACACACAGACAAACAAACACAGATACATTCCAGAATTCATCGAAACATGCACGCACACTCACACACACACCGACAAACAAACACACAGATACAACCCAGAATAGAACACCCCCAAACACACACTTACACACCGACAAACAAACACACCATCGACAAGACTTGGAAGACAGACAGAGGACACTGGAACAAACAGAACGCAGCGCCAATGAGCAGATGTCCCTCTAGCGAAGAAATTAATTTATTACCATTATAGAAATATTTAATTGCTCTCTACCACTGCTCTCCCCATCACACACTTTTCATAATTTATTATCAATAATGACATATTTATTTATTATTATTGTTGCTCACCATTTTTGCTTATTGTTTTTATTCATTGTTATTATTATTATTATTATTATTATTGTTGTTGTTGTTGTTGCTGCTGTTGCTATTATTATTATTGTTGTTGTTGTTGTTGTTATTATTGTTGTTATTATTTTTATTGTTGTTGTTATTGTTATTACTTTGTTGTCTCTATTGATTTTAGTTTGGTTTCCGTTTGGAAGATGTGTGGCTGGTGTGGTCGCGAGGTGCGCAAGAAATCTGCCTGTCATCGATCGCTATTGTTGGAACCGCAGCAAATTAGTTTCCCATTCAACGTTATGTTGCCGTCATTAATTAGTTTTAAGTTATCTGCAATTATGATGATTATGATAACAAATAATCATTTGTAATAATAATAATATAAACCACAATGATAATAATATTATAAAAATAATAATAATACTAATCTTTCTCTTAAATTATATACAAATTTACATAAAATCTATATATTTGCATATGTGTGTGTGTGTGTGTGTGTGTGCGTGAGCATGCACGCATGTATACATGCATGTATGCATGCATGCATGTTTTGCATGTGAATAAGTATGTACGTATGCATGTATGTTAGTTTGTATCAAGTAGATAGAGTAGAGAGTTCCCCCACGCCTTGATGATAATTGTCATCACATAATTTGCTACCTCTCCTTGCCATCGAATGTAATTTTCATTCGTAATATATGCGCTGATCGATACTATTGATTGCTGTTATTAATTTGCATACACCGCTATGCATTAACTAACAACATGTTCCCAAGTTTTATTTCGTTTGTTAGTTAGTTTGTTTGTTTGTTTGTTTGTTTGTTAGTTTGTTTGATTGTTTGTTTCTTTGTTTGTTTGATTGTTCGTTTGTTTGTTCGTTTGTTTGTTTAGTCATTCGTTCATTCATTCGTTCATTTATTTATTCTTTCATTCATTTGTGTATCATTTGTGTATTTATGAATGGTTTTAAGTTTTAATTATTCATTCTTTCAATAATCCCGTCATTCATTCATTTGTTTGTTCGTTCATTCGTTCATTCATTCATTCATTCATTTGTTCGTTCGTTCGTTCGTTCGTTCATTCATTCATTTATTCATTCATTCATTCATTTAGTTGTTTATTTATTTATCTATTATTAAGTATTGTCATCATCATCATCATTGTGCTGATCGTTACATCAATTTAATTGTTCAAACTATTTCATTGATACATGTAATGTAGTGGCAAGGAACGTAGCTACACCAGCAGCAAGAGCAGTAGCAGCAGCTAAGGCAGCTGCTTCAACCGTCGCATTTATTGTCTTTTCTGTGATTCATTAATAAATTATTAGATAAGAAATAAAGCGCCACATAATGACAAGTGACGTCAGAGATGACCTTGCTTGACCCCGACTCCTTGGTGACCAATGCATCTCTAGCCAAACAATGGCCATTATATTTATATTGAGTAAATGTATTATATTTATGTTAAGTTAATGCATTTGTGTTGGTGTTGCTTGTTTGTTTGTTGGGTGGTTTGTTTGGTCGTTCGTTCTTCTGTTCGTTCGTTCTTCTGTTCGTTCTGTTCGTTCGTTATTTTGTTCGTTTGTTTGTACTTTACATAAAATTTCTATCTGCAAATTTTTCAATATTTCTGCTTGTGAATGTCTACTTTTTATCGATGCCAATTTTTTATTGAGTGTGCAAATCTGTGACGTAGATGCTCGCGTCCACCAACTACCTCCACACAACAGCCATCGTCAACAATGCAGCAACAACAACAACATCATCATCATCATTATCATTAATAATAACACAGCAGCAACAACAACAATATCATCATCATCAATAATAACACAGCAGCAGCAGCAACAACAACAACAACTTCCATCAACAATACCAACAACATCATCAATAATAACACAACAGCAGCAGCAACAACAACAACAATAATAATAATAATAATAACAATAGAAATAATAATAATACAGCAGTTTGATGCAATTAAGCGTTTTCAAGTGTCATCTGGTCTTCTTCAGGAGAGTTGTTTGTCTTCATCGCATGCCCATATCTAATCATCATCGTCATAATCATTCATATTTCTCTGTTGAACATCATTGCCATCATCATCTCACAATGTTCAGTTACCCACATCAGCATCGTTATAATCATCATCTTCATCCTCATTATCATCACCCATCATCATTCATCATCATTCATCATCGTCGTCGTCGTTGTCCACATCATCATGATGGTGCAGCAACAAATACATGAACATATTGTATGTAAGTGCTGGTGCGAGATAGAGGCGTGTGCATGTGATGATCCTTCTTGACCACCCACATTTGTGTTGTTGTTGTTCTGTTGTTGTTGTTGTGTTGTTGCCGTTGTTGTTGCTGTTTCCGTGTTGTTGCTGTTTTCGTGTTGTTTCTGTTGTCGTGTTGTTGTTGTGTATTGTTTGAAACGTGTTTGTTGTTGTTACTTTATTGTTGGTGTTGTGTTGTTGTTGTGTATTGTATTCATTGAGATGTGTTTATTATTGTTGTTGTTGTTGCGAGTTATATATAACCTTTATTTTGGTGCAGTTGTTTTTATTCAAGTGCAAGTTCGTTCGTTCGTTTGGATTTTGTTTGCTGGTTCGTTCGTTCGTTTGGATTTTGTTTGTTCGTTCGTTTGTTTGCTGGTTCGTTCGTTTGTTTGGATTTTGTTTGCTCGTTCGTTTGTTTGCTGGTTCGTTCGTTTGTTTGGATTTGGTTTGCTCGTTCCTTTGTTTGTTGGTTCAAACGCAAGCATGAACAACCAGCATTTATTAGAATTCAAGATTGATGATGATGACATTTATTAGGTAACATGAGGAACTTATGTGATGTGATGTCTTATCTAATTGT